GCAGCTGATGGAAATCTAGATCTGTCTGATTTTAAAACTATTTCAGTTTTACAAGTTCGTAAAGCTCTGGGAGACATTGACCACAGAAAATCTGCAGGTCCAAACAGTCTGGATCCTTATCTCTTAAAGGTGGAGGCAGATATTATTGCCGAGCCCATCTCTCATATTTTTGATTTGAGTCTTCTCTCCAACACCATACCTAAAACATGGAAAGCTGCCTATGTTCTCCCTTAACTTAAAGATGGAGACCCCTCAGAGCTGAACAATTACCATCCAATTTCCAAACTTTCACTTTTGGCTAGGATCCTTGAATCTCAGGTAAATTTACAGTTGAAACATTTTTTATTTGATATGAATGTTTTAAATGATTTCCAGTCTGGTTTTATAACTGAGCTCAGCATCATTACTGCTGCCATGGCTGTGACAAATGATATTATTGGTGCTTGGACAGAAAACAGCATTGTGCTGCTTGTTCGTGGATCTTTTGAAGGCATTTGATTCAGTGGACCACAGACTGTCTCCTGAACAAGCTAAGGAATGCTGGTGTCTGTCCTCAGGGTGTACACTGGTTCCAAAATTATTTCATGGGTCATACTCAGTGTTTTTATGAAGAAGGACATAAATATGAATTTCTTCTGATAACTAAAGGTGTCCCCCAGGGTTCCATCTTGGGGCCTCTTGTTCTCTTTTTTTTAATTATTTGGGTAAAGACATTCCAGCAGAAATACAATTATATGCAGATGACACTGTCATGTACACACATGCTTCCTCCATAGTGCAGGTGGTGCAGGAGCTTCAGACTGACTGTCAGTCATTACAAACTGCTCTGCTGAGTTTCACATTGATTTTAAATGTTCAGAAAACAAAGTTCATGGTCTTCTCAATAGCTCGCTCACAGCCTCTTGATGATTTTAGCATCTTCTCTTCTGATGGTAAATCCACTGAAAGACTGTTCTCATACTTGGATATATGGACAGATGATAAGCTTTCATTTAATGTACATACTGCTGCTCTAGTTTGGAAGCTTGAAGTGAAGATTGGATTTTATTTTAGAAATAAATCTTGTTTTACGTTTAGTGCTGAGAAAAAACTTGTGGAAGCTACTTTTCTGTCTGTGATTGATAAAGGTAATATATTGTGTAGGCATGTAGCCTCCTCCATTTTACACAGCCTTGATCCAGCGTACAGTGCATCTTTACCTTTTATTACAAAGTCTCTGACTCATCACTGCATTCTTTATGATTTGGTGGGTTGGACGTTATTGACCACTTGCAGACAACAGCACTGGTATATTTTTTATCTAGAAAGCAATATTGGGCAAACTCCCAGTCGACCTCTGCACCCTTCTGTGTGTCAGCTCTGGTAGTTTCCAACTATGCTCCTCCAACTGGTTGCTTTTTATTGAAGCCCATGTTTTAACAGATCTGGTAAACATTTCCTACTCTGCACCACGGACATGGAACAATCTTCAAAAAGATCTAAAATTGGAAACATTTATATCCACTGATGAATTTAAGGACATCATAAAGAAAGTGGTGACAGAGACATGTGCTTGTTTTTTCTGAAAGGCCACTATGTTTTAATTGTTGTTGTTTTATGGTGGATTTTTGCATTATATGTTGTATTTGTTGCATTTTAATGTGTTCTGATTGGCTGCTGACTCGGCCAGGTCTCTCTTGTAAAAGAGATTTTCAATCTCAGTGGGACTTCCTGACAAAATAAACGTTACATATTTAAAATAAATAAATTAAAGAAAATCTTAATGTCAAATTTTATACCCAGAAAATGAGTGGTATTGTTCACACCAGCACAGAACACAGCATGATTTATATCATCTGATTTACAGATTTTTAGGTGAAAGGTAAAGGATCTCCGTTCTAGACTCAGTCAGTTGTAGAAAGGTCTGGAACATCAGCATTTCACATGTAAGAAATTAGCACCAATAATGACTGGATTTTAATGGAATAATTACATACTGTCAGCAAAAGAGTGGGAGCAGGACCAAACCCTGTGGTACACCATGAGAAATCACAGCCTGAGAGAACAACAGAGAAACTTCTTTTATAAAGATCAGACCAAATCAAAACCTTAGTCTGTGATCACAACCTGTTTATGAAGTAAAGTGACTCAAACTGTATGATCTCTCATTTGTGGAGTAAATAGGACAACAATATAATGTGATGAGCGTGTTACTTGGAATATGGAAGATTGTTCTCATAACAGTGTAAAAAGAGTATTAACATTCTGAAAGTAGTTTCAAATTATGGCAGTTATGAATATCTGTGAGAGTTCATCATGAAAGGTTCTGACCTACAAAGCAGAATTTGAGCTCTGTTAGATGTCATAGGATTTACTGTCACACCTCATTATCATTTTGCTTTGTGTTGTATGAAACTTGTTTATTGACTGTATCATCACAAACTGTTGAAGTTTATCAGTGTGTGACTCCCTCTAGTGGATCCACATGTTTTTGTACAGAGTTTTGGTGTTTCCTGTCACTGTGGGCCTCACAGCACAGTAGTACACAGCAGAGTCTGTCACTGCAGCAGAGGAGATCTGCAGGTCCACACGACATTTTTCTTCAGACAGTTCAGTAAAGAACCTTGTGTCTGATTTCAGAGATTCTGCTATTCTTGAAATGTTCATCCCTGAGATGAAAATGATGAACTCTGGTGGTTTTCCTGGATATTGTCGATACCAAAAGAAATAATCATCCCCAGCAGCTTGTTTGGAGTATCTGTAGGACAGAGTAACAGTGCTGCCTTCTAAACTGTACTCTTCATTCTTGAGTGGAGTGAGTTCTTCACAGCTGACACCTGAAGGAAGAGATACATGTTGTTAATGAGAATTTAAACTCTGATGTCCTGCTCCAATGATTTCTAGCAAACATTACAAACAGATCCCTTAAATGCATTCATTCTTCCTGCTTTAACCTACCTTTGAATATGGTCAGAAGAAGAGGAACAATTCCACAGCAATGCAGTGCCAGCATCTTACAGACAGTATCTGTGTTGTGTCTGCTTTAGATATTGATAGTGGGAGTCTTTTTCACTTCTGCTCTTCTTTGACAGTGTTGCTCCTCCCTCAACCTATTCCTCCTCTCATATCACTGTATGTTATGAACACCAAAACCACACCTGAATATATTTTACAGTTTCATATATTTGAATTTGAATTTCATCAGCACACAACATGTGATTAGAAACAAGAAAAAAAAAATCAACATGGCAGGGATTTTACAGGAGAGGTAAGAAACCAGAAGGATCTGATGGTGAAAACTTCCACTCTAGAATTTCAAATCTATTCTATTACAAATAATATTTCTCTCCTAAACATGAGAATATAACAGACAAAACAAGAAAATATAATAATCATAATGAAACAGACACATAAACATAACTAATACATTAACTATGGCACAGGTGTTCTTTTCATATTAGATTTAAATGAGAGTAATGATGGAGAGGTTTTAATCAAGTGAGGACTGTTGTTCCAGAGTAATGGTCCTCTGTATTTTAAAGCATATTGTCCAAGTGTTGTGTGGTAATAGGGAAGATAAATA